GGTCGGAGTCGCGCGACGTTTGACCTCCTCTGATGGATCGCGCGATCCTACCGCGGACGTTTCATCACCGCGCCGATTCCCCGAAAAAAAAAAGAGTGCATGTGTCCCCGGGTGTGCGTGTGTGAGCGTCGACTGCGGTTGCCGATCGGGCCGCGTGATTACCGCTTGCCGGTTTATTTCGAGTCCCGCTGGTTATAGAAGGCCATCCTCCCTCTCGCGGCTTCCATCTGCTGGCGCAATCGGGCAGATCATGGGCGCTCCTCGCCGGCTCTCTTGGAGGCTCCCGTGCGCCGCCGCCTCTGGGATGGGTATCGACGGGAGATGATGACTCGGGGACCTTTCCTAACGTTCCGGGAGCCAATCGTCGCTGCGATCAACGACGTCAGAATTCGTGGCATCGTTCTGCCCACCCGCCCGCCCGCTCGTCTCGGCTCTCCAGGAAAAGATAGGGAGACCATCCGTTATTGTGGGGGTACCGTTCGAATCAAATCATATCAGAGCTCGGTGGCTCTGGAGAGGTGCTCCCGAGGTCTCCGCGCTGGATCGCTGCCAACGTCTCGTCTTCTCGCGTGTGGCACTTTCGCTCTGCAGCTCGCAGTATGCCGTTGGATGTCGCACGTTAGATCTTGGGACGCGCGCGAGAGCAAATCAGACCGCAGGCTCTACACATCGCCTTATGCGTCCACGTTTTCTGAATCAAACGAACTGTTCGGCGGATCTCTGCACTTACATGGAGAGTCAAGACCGGGCTGGTGTAGGTTGTAGTTGCGCAGGTTAACGTGCAACAATTAGTATTAAAAAAAAAAAAAAAAAAAAAAAAAAAAAAAAAAGAGAAACGACGGATTGAATGCAGGCCGCCAAAGACAGGGAAGCGTTCCTGATATCCTTTCCCTTTGCCTGTTTTTTTTTTTACACGTATTCTGGCGCGCACCTGCGGTATTGACGTCACCAGATGTAGTTATGCGTGCGTTCTTAAAAAAAAAAAAAAAAAACTTGTTGACAAAATTAGTGTTTCCGGACAATTCGTTCGTTCTCTTTCCGCGGATTCTCTTTGAATAGTTCTCTGGGGATTGCGCGGAAAGCTTTAAAACAAGATAAGTTCATTTATCTCCACGCACATAGAATTTAACTGTAATAGGTTTATGAAGGACAAAGAGAGGCTAACTTGAACGTATCTTCTGACCGTCTAGTTTGTACTGGGGATACGGGGTGGGGGAAGGAAAGACGGGGCGAAGCGATGAGGAGAGAAAAGGGGGCGAAATTGTCCTTCGGGTGGTACGTGCTAATGGGAAGGGCGTTCGAACTCTGGCACAAAACTATTCTCAGGCACCCGCAAAGGGTCCGCCAACACCCTTCCACATCCGTCGTATCGTCATCGGGTATCCACATTGGAGGTATCGAAACGATCTACTAAAACTCTATAGTTTGCTGCAGCGGCACTCGTGGTTCCTCGTCGAATTCCTCGCATTGGCACAGGATATGCTGAGCTCTCCCTCCTCCGACTTCACTCTGGCACCGTTCGCGGCAATTTTTGGCAAATGCAGCAAAATGTGCGGGATCAATTTTTTTTTTTTTTTTTTTTTTTTCATTGACGGATGCGATTTTTTTTTTTTTCGTCCTTTTCCTTTCGATGTGTGGCGTGTCCTTGGCGGCTGTCTGATCTGGACGTCGGCAGCTCGACTTCCCGCGCGACGCGTAAAGGGGGCGCGCCGACGGCCAGCCCCCCGAAGGTCGCCCGTACGGGGCGTGACCGTGTTCACGACGCCACGACCGACTCTGGCCGCCACCGTGCACACCTCGCCGGAGGCCCGACCCGACGACAACTTGAGCAGTTAGGTAACCCAAACGACGTCGTTACGTACACGCACCACGCGAATCCCCCCCCCCCCCCCCCCCCCCCCCCGCCCCTCCCTTTTCCCGCTCTTTTTTTTATCTTTCTATCTTGCCCTTCCTTTCGTTGAATACCTCGTGTCTTTTTTTTTAAAGGTTCATCTAATTTATTGCCCGGCATTCGTCGTCGTTCAAGCTTTGTTCGCTGTCCCCTCCAAAAAGAACGACGCCGTGTAGATGCATGTACCGTGTCGTCTAAGGCTTGCACGTAGCTGGGACTGACGGCAGGGGGGCAATTAAACGAGAATACGTTGGAAAAAAAAAATTACTGAATGCACAGTATTACGCAGCGTAGATGTAGCAAACAGGCATCGACACCTTGAAGCCTGCGTGTCCTTTCCCGATTATACCTGACCCGGCAGTTAGTTCCCCGTCTCCTTTCAACGACTGAGGAAGAATGGAAGGGGGGAAAAATAAGAGGAGGCGTTTTCCCGATTTTTATGACCGAGCACTGTTTGGGCAGCACCTGTTAGCGATGGACTGCGAGACGTAAAATACTACCGAAACGCTCTACACTTCTCTTTCTGTCTTGTTACAACTTTTTGTTTGTTAGTATTTTTTTTTTTAGTAAGAATGATTAAAATATCTTTTTTGTGGCGCATTATAACGATACACTTAGGGCTTTGAACGGGCGTTATGTAACAGGCTGGCGAATCACGAACAAAATCTTAAAAAAAGGAAAAAAAAAAAGCTTGTGTGTGTGTGTGTGGGGAGGGGGGGGGGGGGGGTTCGGTGTATTGTGGTGGAGGCGCGCGCGTTTCTAGGGAAGTTACGATGGTGAACGACATAGGTACACGCCGCAACTACTGTTATTATGGCGAATGTAGGGGGGGGGGGGGGCGCATTCAACGACGTTGTGAATGGAATCGGTCGAGAAGGTTCTCTCGGGTTTGGCCAGCTCAGAGCTTGTTGTGCTCCTCGAGATACCAACCTGTGTTGTGGAGGTGGGAAGAGAATTCATGGGACATGTTTTTTACGGGAGGCTTAGGGGCGGCAGACATTGGTTGCTTTCGTGTGTGCGTGTTTCGGTGCGCATTTGTGGCTCGGGAATTCTTTGTGCCGCTAATTTATTATTTGCCCGTGAACGCGCAGTCATAAATGACAGCGACGCTAAATTCACTCGAAGGGCGTGTTCACGGGTGCTAGCAGAAACATTCGCGAGTAATCGGTGTTTTCGATGTTGCCTCTCGCCAATTGCTACTGAGCTTCGTGATAATAGGGAATGAGGGACAACAGATGTACGTCGCCATGTTCATTATTTCTATCCTCTTCCAATTTGTTTGTCTTCTTTAAGGAGTTCTCGATTATTCGGATGAGATATTTTGTTCCCTACCTCAAAGAATGGCAGCACAAAGGAAAAAACATAAAAGATATAAGAAACGTTTTTTTTTAACGTTTCTTTATTTTTTTTTTATTATGGCTGCTTTTTTGCTTTTGCAATTGATATGGGATTTTCTATCTTCAGTTAACGCTTACGAGAAATATACGAGAAAAGTCTTGATGGTAGATCACGATTATCTTCACGCAACGCAAATCGGGTCACGCGAAGCACGTCGGAACTTTCCTTATTCACAAGGCGCCCAAACTCCGCCCACTCGCAGCTCACGTTTCCAGCACGTACAAAGTCGGAAAACGCCGCGGCTTCTGTCTCTTCCACGCCACGCGCCGCAACGGCCATTCGCGGCTCCTCAAAACTTTGCTCGGCACCTGTCGAAATGTTTTCCGGGCCTTGTTTTTTGGCGGGCGCTTTTGCGAGCACAGGCAGGAACAGTAAAGCGCACCGGTTCACAAACCCGGCAGGGCAACTAGGCATCTTACAAAAGAAAAAAATAGAAGAAAAAAAAAGCGACGTAAAGTATATTCTTGAGAGCGCGGAAGAAGGCGGCGAGCGCTTTAGCGCAGAGCATGGCGGTACTCGATTTTCTTCACGTGTCAGAAACCGTTGGCTTCGCGACTCGCAACGGGCGGCAATAATCGACGGTTCTCTCAAAGCGTGGCAATGTCCAAAATTAGCTCAGAGAGGAGCCGCCTTCGTAGAATGGCCCTCCGGGCGGTGTCACGACCTCGCGACGTTTCTTTTTTCTTTTCTTTTCTTTATGTTCTGTTTGTTTGGTTGCAGATATGGCTGCAGCTTAGAAAGGAGCATTCGAGTTTGTGACGTCGTTGGATCGATTGATCGATCTGTATACGTACGCGTACGTTTGTCGCATATTTCTATACATCTAAGGCACTGGCCCATGTCAGCTTGCCGGTCTCGAACACAAGCAGAAGGTATTGCAAGTTCCGCTCTATCGAGAGCTTCGTGACCACGTCACAGCAAAATGTTATTGCATAATTCTTCTTTGGACTGCATGAAGTTTCGCGTACAGCTCGAATGTCGTGTCAATTTTGTGAACGTTCGCGTATTAAATACGCCATATCGAACTGCTCCTGTTCTTAGCGGTTGAGTACGGAAATGGTGTCCTTGGCTGTTGAGAATGTAGGGTTCCGAAATGCTTGTTTGTGTGAGCGACTAGTACGACAGGCAGAGAGGCCAGAGCGCAATTAATGGAGCTGTGTTTCGGGTTCTCACGAGGAGAATAATAGACGTAAAATGTAACAAATGCTTTGATTTGCACCACAGGAACCGAAAGCAAAGTTCCAGAAGCAGTCACGGATCATCATTACTAAATATAATGTAGGTAGGCGTGACAAACACTGAATAAAATTGTACGATTAATGTATATCTGACAATGATTAGATACAAGGTCCATATTGACCAGAGATTCAGGGGAGGGAGGGGGGGGGGGGGGGGCTTCTCTACAGTAAACCGGATCACATTCGATTCCATTACAGTATATAATTCATCGTCATATTGAGCAACATATTCAGCCTGATATTAAGATGAAGAAAAAATAAAACGTCACTGATTCACTGTCGAAGTCCTACTTCAGATATCCGTTCCAGTGATTTGTTTCACCTTAAATGGTTCATCGAGTCTTAGTTTTTTCTGCTTATCCGCGTACTTTATCAGGATCATCCGTTGATATGGAATGTGCCATGGTGACAGTGTAGATCGCTGCATGTCTGGAGCCGTATTGAACTTTCTCTTTTTATCTTTCTTCTCACAGATCTTACAATCCAACAGCTGAGGGACCAAGTGGGCCAGGACAACGTAGCCTTACAGGTGAGTGATGTCCTTCGCATTTGTTTTACCTTCGCAGCGCACGTGGCGTCATCCAGGACACGTAGAATAGGAGAAAGCAAAAGGATAGAACACAGACAGGTAAATCAAGGCGGCCTTCCACTGTTGGCAGCTCCGATTTGGGGAAGAAACGGAAGACGCTGAGTCGTCGCTGTTTCGTGCCTCAGCACGCCCAACGCGGATAAACTATTTGCGATCGGATCCAGCATTTTGAGTTCCGCACATTGTTTAACTACCTTTTTGGGCCAATATATATATATAAAGCTTTAGCATGACCACTTGTCGATTGTTCATCACATAGTAAACGAAGACCTTATATCTTTAACCGAGAACATTTGTTGCAGGAAAATAAGAAATGCTGCATAGCCGATGCGCGGAGCGCTTGAGTGCCGGATGCGTGAGGTTCACAAAACGCGTAAGATGCTCTGCCTTGCTGGAATTGAGATGGACATATAGGGGGGCAGCTAGTCTTGTACGAACATCGGCTATGACTAGGAGATGGCAAGACTATCGCGTACTTTTTACGCACATATACATGAGCGCGTTTCTCCCCTTCCAAGCAGCGATCACACTGCTAATGTATCGTACAAAAGACACCCTGTAAACACTGCCTGAGGTGGGCTTCGTTGCGTCGCGAGCACACCTGTCTCCCTCCGAATATTTTCACCAAATACTTTACTAGGGAGAGCGCGTGCTACCCTGTGTGGGGTACAACGAGACGCCCCCACCTAGTGGTGTGGGCGTCTCGCTGTCCATGGTGTCGCGCTCTCGTGCAGCGCCGAGGGAGGGCGTTGTCGCGGGTGTACCGAGATACCGGGTTTGCCGAGACAACACGAGGCGGCTGTCTCGACTGGCGTTCGAGATGCGCTCGACGACAGATGGCGGCAGTCACCCGTCCCAAATTCTAAAAGGAAAACACCGAGGCTGTGGCGAATTCAGCCGTTCCAACTGCGCAAAACGTGTCCGCGCCAAGGTCATAGGATTTTCGCCGAGTGATATGATATTCCCTTGCACTCGTTGTCACATCCAGAAACAAGGAGATTTGGCGAATTCTTCATGCGCTTCGCGAAGTAGTTTTTACAAGATCAGGGGTTGTCGAAGGGAGAAGCATGATTATAGCGTTTGAAACGTTGAAACGTGTCCGTCTCGATAAAATAACGTAAAACCATTCTAAGGTGCACCTAATATATCTTAATTTAACGCAGGAACGGGGAGAAATAAGTAGCGTTCCATGAGGAGCCGGGCTTTTATTTCTACGGCTCTTCAAGTGAACTCGGGTATATGGTAAAGTATTTGTTTTATAGCCAACTCCTCTACAAGCTCACCTTTCCCTTACCCCCTCCTTTTGCCTATGCAAGTCTCTCCTCTTCCCGTAGTACAATGGCTTCCATAGGCATTGAACTTCCAATTTCATTTTATAAAATACCCCTCACATCTTTGGCCCGTGATGTTGTTCGCTTGACCGAAGGCGCGGATAAACTCTGTGGAACGAGTGATCCCTGCATGTTTGCTGTGTTACCCTTTGGCGTGCCCATCCCTGCACTCGTAAGTGCCGAAGGCGCATTATGACACACTCGCTCGCCGTGTATAGTTTGATGGCACGTCGATTGTATTCATATTCGCGCCGCAACCGAACGCTCCTTAAGGATCATGAAAGTGTGCGCTCTTGAGCAAAGGTTGCCGCATCAAGGCGTTCCCGAGCGTAGGTAACTTGCGTCTCGTATACCGACGCGACCTTTCTGCCTGCTCTCCACGTGTCGGTATTGCGCGTCAGGATGCATGTGTCAAACAGCAGTCAGTCAAAAGTCAAATGAAGGGCTTCGTTTAAGGTTAGCGCTCGTGTAAAAGAAAGAAAAAAACAAAAGAAAGAAAAAAGAACGTTAAGGCCACGTCTTATACAAACTCTGACTGACATTCGTGGCTCTCAGACTCACTATAGAAGGCATGGTTGACTTTAGATGCGAACTACGCAATTTGCTTTGTTCTACCGCGCGTCGCGAGCTCCGTGACATTTTTACGTTCATTTTTGCCGACCGCAGATACCATTTTCCTTCGCGCCATTGTTCCGGCGATATACCTTGAAGCTTGCGCGATTTATTCGTACTCGTCGCGCGAGCGCAGGTGTGAGCTCCTCCAACTCCCGATCGGTATGAACGTAAGTTTGACCCCCGTCTTATAACGGCGCTCTCGACTGATTCTATGCCGCTATACTCGCTACCAGCCTAAGAACCTGATTATCCCTCCGTTGCCGATGAGGTTGCCACAGTTGCCGATAAAAACGCCAAATCGCAAAACAAGAAGAATGAACGCATTAAAGGGATACTGAAGCGAAACTTGAAATACACCTATTATGGTCAGAAATAGGTTCAATATGATCAATGATATTCATAAATCATAATCGCGCGTTTGTATTTTGAACGGATGGCTATATTTTTCACCCTAATGGGCCCGATTGGGCGCGCGCTCAAAAATCGGCCATCGGAGAGCGCGATGCGTCTTGGGATATTGGGCGCATTCGTGATGTCACTTGTGCCAGTCGGGAAGGGCTACGGCGTGAATGTTGTGGTTACGAGCGTTGCCACTTGGTGGCGCGTCGACGATTTATGACCTGTGACAACGTGGCCGTTTGAGATGTGCAAGGGCTGCACGCACGCTGCACCACGGCAAGTCGGCAACCACAGCAGCACTGACAAAACCAGCTCCGAGGCCGGATTCTCAAAGCGAATTCACGACGAAAAAAGTGCGTACGACAAATCTGAGAGAAAACCCGTACTCTCGCAACGAAATTGTCGTAACCTTTGCACAGGTTACGACAGAATCCTACGACAGCTCCGAAGCTGTCTTACGCACTTTTTACGATGAAATCAACAAGGCCGACAGCTTCGCTCAGTTACTTGGTATCGGCCACCAACGGACATTTATTTTTCTTCGTGCTCTTCTCGTGCGTCCCGACTTCAACCAGCAAGAAAAAAGGAAGGAGTACTTAAAACAGACCACGACGATCAAGAACGCAGGATCCACAAACACACGAGAAGAGCTACAACGGCCACGATTCTGCCGACCGAGCGAGCTCGGCAGAATATAGTAGGCCTAGCAGCAACATCGACTCGGCGCACCGTTGCTCCGGCGGTCCTTGGCCAAGACCGTCTGTCCATGACCGGCTGGCCTGCTGAATGGAATATGCCCGCGCGACCCTTGTGGACCCTTACCGGATGAGTAGTTTGATCCCTGAACTAAATTTCAGAGGTCAATATTTTCCCTTGTCATCTCGATCTCCTTGTTTTCCGAGACAGCGGTGACGAACGCTGTCGTCGAAAAGGGACTCTCATTGATTCTATCTCCTTGTTTTGTGTGATATAGAGCTCAAATAAACTCCGTACGGATTACCTTCGCAACTCGGTATGTACACTCTGTTATTAGTATGCCGTTTTTATTCTGACTCGACGCTACGTCACTGTCGAGCTATAGCAGTTCGTGGGAGCTACGCGATGTCGGTCTAACCTTTCTTTGCCGAGTGTCATGTCAATATCGAGTTGCAATCGTAAAAGATCGGTCCAGAAGCGCTTACCGAAACGCGGTCTAACAGAGCGAATCCAGCACTTCGATCAAACGCGCGTGTCCGCTCCGAGTGTGAACAGGTATTTGCGTGGCTCTTGCTGACACCCTCGTAGTTCAAACATATTCTTTTTAACGTCGGCTTGCAGCTCGCGACTCGCAGCAACTAATACCGGCCGTGCCAGAAGCATGCTCGGGCCGTGTCGTGCAAAGAGCCGCAACGAGAACGAGCTCACTGTGGCCAACTACGCTTTAGCTTTCTCCGCCAAGGCTTTGCAAACGCATTCAGGCCTAGGCGAATTCTGCCGGCACGCCGTATTGCCGCAGAACGGCGCTGCTATTTTGCCACAAGTGATGTCACGAGAACTTCCCCCCATCCACCAGATGAGAATTTGAAATCGTTTAATTATGTTTAAAATTAGTTCTCCTGTGTTTTACAGCGCAGTATTTATATTTCCGAGGTGGTGCCTGTCCCTAGCCCATATTTATGCAACAAGATCGGCGCTAAAATTTCGTTTCACTACCCCTTTAAGGTATTTCCCTGCGAATAGAGTTACATTAGTTCCTGGCCAAGCCAAAATAAGCTTCCTTCGTATACCACAAAAAAAAAAAAAAAAGTACGTGAGTTTAGTTTTTTTTGCAGAACACTGAGGTCAGCTAGTTAGGACTAACATTAGAAGGATCTCAGCAAACTCACACATCAACTAAACCTTCAAAAAAAAAAAAAAAAAGCCGTTGCTTGCAGGGACAGTGTCACCGACGTTTCACCCGTTCAGTTGTCCCTGCGCACATAGTATAATTTTTTTTAAACATCAAATTGTAATTTTAGTTTCGTGATTCTCAGTGATTCTTGCGTGGTTCGTCGTGGTTCGTTGTCACAGTGTTCTAGGAAAAAGTAAATTTAACTTCTTTTTTCTTTTTTAGAGTGAATTAGTTATTATTGGGGCTTGGTTTACTACGTTCGCGTTTCTCTTCGTCGTTCTTGTCGGCGTATATCGCCATGTCATTGGCCGCGTAACGGTCATAAGTAGGGCGTTAATTAAGGATTGTAACCCGATTAAGCGCTACCCTTTAGTCGATAATTTAATCGATTAATCAGTCGTGTCCAGGCAGAACATCAAAGAAAGTGCGAGAACTACCTATTTTCTTATGTCGCTTATTGTTTACCATGTTATCGGAGGCGACATGAATAACCTCAATTAAAACCGTGAAAAAAAAAAAAAAAAAAAAAAAAACGCGAGCAGATCGATTTTAGCAAGGAAATATTTTCCATCATTATTTTAACGTGGTGGTCGTCGCGGTTGAGAGTCATTTGGGACTGTGTCGTGCAAGGTAAGCGACAGATTCTGATGCTGCAGCGTAAAAACGACTTCCTCGGAGCCTGTTGGAGGATGAGACGCTGTGAAAGAGAACAGGAACGCGGCAGC